CACGACTACCTCTTATCCCAGTAGGGCGGGCAGTGAAGGGCTAGGGAGAGGGAAGCAGTACTGTTTAAGAACAAAGGGCCAGCTTTGGATTGGGAGAGATCACAGCTGGAACCTCAGTTTTGCATGTGTTAGTTTAAGGGAACCTCTCTGAGGCTCCCAACCCTCCCATCTGGAGTGAGGTGGGTTAAAGAGGGGATGTAGGAGATCTAGGAAATGCCCTGAGCACAGGGCCTGGCTCCTGGCTTCGTCTTCCTGGTTGGCTGGACACCAGGTGTTGCTTTGTGGGTTATGGAGAGGCCATCTCTTCTGACCAGAAGGGAGACTTGGTCTCCGACCTTCCACTTGCCCAGGACAAATCTCGAGTTCAGGTTCCAGGGGAACCGGGTCACAGGTGCAGTGGTGTGCTAGAGCCCCCAGTCATTCCTCTACCAGATCCTCAGTCCTTCTTCTGCAAATCCTGCCATCCCACTTTCTCTGGACTGAGGGAGAAGGCCGAATTCTCTGCACCCCGTCCTTACCCCCTGGTCTCCCTGGTCCCCGCGGCTCAGGATCACCCCTCAGCCCTACCCAATAAGGTATGAGGGGAAGCGGAGGGTAGGAGCAAGCTATGATGGCCCACAGGGTTTCCCTCCTACTCAGGACTTCAGGTGGACCTGGAGGAAGTTCAGCGTATTTTAACAAAAAGTTTCTGAGCTGGATGTGCATTTAAAAAGATGTGGAAGGAGAGATACCAAAGTGTAACAGTTTCTAGGTAGGCGGAATTGTGGGTGTTTTCATTTTCTTGTGGCTTATCCATATTTCTAATATTTCAGTAATAACTTTGAGTTGCTTTTAAAATAAGAAAGAAAAAAAGATATTTTAAATTGAAAAAGAGGAAATAAAAATTACAGAGTGCCCATCCATTCCTGTCACCTAGCTTGGGACAGTGTGCTTCAGAGCGAGGGTGGATGGCCTGAGAATCAGAGAGGCTGGGGGAGGTCCTGTCTGTTCCTGACCAGTTGGGCGACCTGGAGTATGAGACTTCTTAACAAATCTCAGTCCCTTCATCTCTAAATGGGGACAGTGGTGCCTGTGTCACACAGTGGTAACGCACCATATGACGCGGAGGCTAAGACACAGGCTCCGGGTCAGACAGGCCTGGGTTCAAATCTTAAACTCTCACCACATACTGATTTTTTGACTTTGAACAGATTACTTAAGTTCTTTAAGTTTCAGTTTCCTCATCCCTAAAATAGAGATGATGACAACACTACGTAACTCTTGTCTTGTTAGGAGCATTACTGAGATAATCCAGATTAAGTTCTCGGCCCAGGAGTTGGCCCCCAGGAAGCTCCCTATAAACATCAGCCATGTGGACAGTTTCTAAGAAGCAGTAGCAGGTTTTTTATAAGTGTGACTCCCATCCCTCTTTCCTTTTTCCCCCTCTGCAAAGCAAGAGGCAGTAGGGAGGGTACAGGTGGAAAGGGAGGTAGACAACACAAGGGATAAAAAGGAGAACAAAGAAGGAAGGAGCCAGAGGGCAAGGGCTCTTTATCCCCGATGGTCCTTACTCTCCTCTGGAGTAGTGTCCCTGCCTCCTCATCACCTTCCCCCAACACACACACGTGACCCTAGTCCTGCTGGGAGCCAATGAAGCAGACAGACCAGGCTCTGTGGCCAACCCTCATGAAGCCCCTCTGTCCGCTGCTGGCATCATCTCCACACTCTCCTCCTTCTGCCCAGCAGGGACTCCTGAAGGGTTGATTCCCTAATCCCTTCTTTCTCCCCAGCCCAGGCAGGGCAGTAGGTATTAGAACAGTCCAGGCCAGTGGGTACTAGAATTTAGGGAGCTCTTTCTGGCAAAGCCAGACTCCCACATCATCACCACCAAGGGAAGAACTGGAAAAGAGCAGTTGGTTTTTAGAGGGGCTCTGCCATCCTCAGCTGGAAGGACACCCAGGAAGTCCTGAGCCACTTCCTTCCTTAAACTTCTTGCCTCCTCTGCCCATAACTGGGTTTTATTAGGGGATGGATATTTACTTGTGCATTTTCCTGTGTGCTAGAGTTGGGGTATCACACTGTTGGTCTTCCCAGCATCACCCCAGTCCCACTGTGAGTGAAGAGATGAGTGGCAGGCTTGAGAGGGCAGACATTCTTGCCCACCCGTAAGTGTGAGACAGGAGAAAGCAGGCCCTACAGCTCAGAGGAACTTCAGTGTCTGAACAGGAGGGCCTGGGGCGCACTTGGGCCCTTCCCTTCCTGTATCCCCTCTGCTCACCTTCCCTTAGTGTGACCCTCTGGCTGAAAATCAAGGCGCCCAGAGCCATGGAGTCCATCCTGTGAGTTGGAAGGGAAATGGTGTTTAGAGGAAGGCACTGACTGTGGCACAGAAGGACTCCGGGCGGGGAGAGACCTCCTCATGTGCACTTGCTTTGGTTGAGGGCCACTAACTAACTCCTACCAAGAGGGAGCGCGGCACGGAGCTAAAAGTCAGGACTCCTCCCTCAGTTCTAAGAGACACCCCACTCTTTCCTTCTACTGTCTATAGAGCCTCTGATCCCTTCTCTTCCCTCCCCTGAGCCAAGGCCATGCTTACCAGGAGCCTTAACTCTAGGGATAGGATTCTTAACTTATTTTTAAGCCAAGGAGTTTGAGGAGTATGTGGGGAAAAGGGAGGAGGTCCAGGAAAGGCCTGGCCTGGGGAAATGGGTTAGGGGAGCCAGAGGAGATGGAGAGAGAGAGGGGGAGAAAACCGCATATGAATGGTGGAGGTGGGGGATGCAACAGCTGGATGGAGAAGGTGAATGCCACAGCTGGAGAGGATTGGGGGCATCACAGCGGGAAGGGAGGGACCATCACCTGGATATCCCAGAACAGGTGCTCTAGGCCTATAATCCTCAGGGGAGTGTGTGTGTGTGTGGGGGGGGGGTTGAGGGGGACGGTGCACACATCAGGCCTTGTCCTTCCTTTCCTTCCCTCAGGGGCCAAAACTCTTCCTCCTCCTTCCCTCTCCCCCTTCTTGAGGATGAGTGGGAGGAGAGGAGGGTGTTCTCTTGCCCGCTGTCCTTTAGGTCTGTCCCCCAATCACCCCCCCACCCCCACCCCATACAGTCCTTCCCAGCTCTGGAGGCCCTTCGCCTCCAAGCTGGGCCGCGGCGTCCCTAGGCTCCGTTCCCCTCCTTCCCATCCCCACAGACGTCGGGTCCAGGTCCCCAGTTCCTCTATCCCCACAGCCTCAGCATCCCCGCGCCACGCTCCCTCACCCTGCCACATCTGCATCCCGACCCTCCCTCCGCACCCGGATCCCAGGACCCGGACCCATCCCTGCCCCCCACCCCCCCCAACTCGGCCCGGCTCTCACCTCGGGGGCTCCGCGGCCGCAGCACAAAAGGCGGCGCTGCTGCAGCTCGGCTCCGGATGCTGCTCCCGCCTCCTCCTCCTTCTCCTCCTCCTTTCCTCCTCCCCCCGCTGCCCTCGACCGGACCCGGGGCGCTGTCACGGGCGATGCTCGCGCGCGGTGTCCGGGCGCACGGGTGTCAGCCCCAGCTTTCTCCCCCCACCCCCCGACCCCTAGCCCCGTCCTCACTCGGCTTGAACTCCCGCTCCTTCCAAGGCCCCCGCCCCTGGCCCCCCGGGACGGACACGCCCTGAGCGGGGGATGCTGCGCTGGAGCCGCCGGCCTCTTAAAGGAGCCCGCTGCTGCCATCCGGCGCGCTCCAGGCTCGTCCCTCGCCGGTCTGGGTCTCTCACCGCCCTGCTGGCGGTGTCCTATGGCAGTCCCACCTCAGGCCTTATGCTGATTCCATAGGAGCCCCCTATGACCGGTCTTATAAACTCCCTTCTTTACCCTGAGACAGCAGCCCCTCAGATGGGAACCCCCAGCGCTCTAGCATTGTTCCCCCGTCATACCGACGTTGCCAGCTTTCTTTCCCCTAATTGTTACCACTCCAGTTCCACCCAGTTGGGATCCACTCAGCTCAATACCCCGTCGCCCTCCAGTGTTCTTGGATGACCCCTCGTTATCATCCCAAGATTCCTCTGGACCTCCACCCCCCGCCTCAGAGCAAGCCATCTCTTCCCTGACCCACTCTCGGAACACTCATTAGAATCAGACATTTTTCATGATCTCTCTCTTTCCAAGGTCACAAGATTTTCCCTACATCTTTCAGCCCAGTGGCTGTGAGACTTTGGCGAGGAGGGACTGGAGCTCTGGGATCCAAAAATACGCGTTCTGCTCTGCACTCAGATTAGTCGATTAGTCTTAAAAGAACAGAACTCTCTCTTTAACTGAGAGACCCAAGACCCACGGCAGAAGGAATGAGACCACCACGTCCCTTAGTCCTTCTAACCCTGTCGTCCCACTATAGCCCAATTCTCAGCTCCCAGAGGGGGTCTCCTGGCCAGCTACAGAAAAGTTCATTAGGCTTTAGAAAAGAATCCGAAACCCCAGAGGCTGCGGGGCAGAATTAAGGAGAAGGGAGGTGAAGGACAACCTAGGAAAAGGAAGCAGGTTCTGTAAGACTAAGGCCCGGGGTCAGGGGCTTAGGCCGAAGGCTGAGCGGGAACTGAGGCGGACTTGAACGTACAAGTGCCCTACCGCTCTGAGGGGCAGAGAACAGTCCCCTCCAGCGTCCAGGTAAGGCCCACCCTCCCAGACTGAGAGGAGCCAGGATCCGACAGCAGCCTGGTCCCTGGACCAATCACAACCTTTTCTCAAAAAAGAGGCGGAGCCAAGGGGGGCTGACTCTTCCCTTGTCCCCGCGCCCCTAGGTGAGGTAACCAATCGCAATCCACCTAGAGCAAGCAAGCGCAATCCGGAATAACCAATCACGCTGTGAAGCTTCTCGTGCATGCTTGACCCTGCCCCTCCAGCTGCGACAAAGATGGCGCGCGAGCTCTTGGGTTCTGTAGTTTTCTCGGGATTCGAAGGCCCTGGGGCTCGAGTTAGCCCTTACCGCCCCGCCCCCGGCCGCTTCCACTCCGCTAGTACGCATGCCCAAAGCCCCCGTCCAGGGGAGAAGAGACACGAAAGGCAGGAGGCGGGACGATATGAAAAGAAAAAAAAAGCCAACAAAAAACCACCCTCAGCTCGGGAAGCGACAGTGGAAGGGTCCGCTCCTCCCAGAAGGCGGTGCTGCCTGCTAGGGCGAACCACGCGGAGGGTTGTGGGGCGGATAGCGTCCCTCCTGATGGAGACTCATGGAGTCGGGTGGGCGGGGGACTCCATATCCCAGCATGCCCCGCGGCGGGCCCGACCGGCCGCGACTCCGGGCTTGGCCCCGGCCCTAGCTCGTCGGCGGTGTATCGGGGCGCGTGAAGGCTGCAGTCACGGTGGCGCCCGCGGGGACGGAGGAGGGAATGAGTGAAGAGGAGCACGGCTCCGGCACTACCACGGGTTGCGGGCTGCCCAGGTGAGCCGCCTCATACCGATCCCTGTAGGGCTGGGAGCGTGGTGTGGTGCGGAGGGGGTAGCGGCGCGGCCCCAGCATGCACCTGGCCTGAAGGTTGTTCCCGGCAAGCACTGGGGTAGTGGGCCGTGGTTCCCGGCATGCATCCCGGCTGTGGTCACTGCCTCCAGCTCTAAATAGTTTGGGGTTGGCCCGGTTCCCAGACTGTACTGGGGCCACAGGGCTTTATGCCCCCGACATTCAGTGCATTTGGTGGGTACTGGGTTCCTGGCCTGCACTGTGTCAGGGGACATGCACTTTCACCCTGCACTGGGGCACAGGATCCCCGCCTTAACTGAGACAGGAACAGTGCGTTCCCGCTTGCCCTGGGGCAGTGGGCTCTGCTTTCCCAGCCTGCACCTCTGCTCCACACTGAACCCAGCCAATGGCTGCTGTATTGCCTGGGGTCCCCTGGACCCTGTGTCCCCCATAATGTGCCTGGGTCTGATGTGGCAGTGCTTGGCCAGGTGGGTGCAGAGAGGAGAGGTGTGATGAGGGTCTGTGCCCCTCCCCCCAGTATAGAGCAAATGCTGGCAGCCAACCCGGGCAAGACCCCGATCAGCCTTCTGCAGGAGTATGGGACCAGAATAGGGAAGACGCCCGTGTACGACCTTCTCAAAGCCGAGGGCCAAGCCCACCAGCCTAATTTCACCTTCCGGGTCACCGTTGGCGACACCAGCTGCACTGGTGAGGAAGGCTTGGGCAACCTGGCTGGGGTGTGCATTCACAGGGCCCCGTTGGCTTTATTTCTGGGAGTCTCTTCACAGTCCACTTCTCCAAGGCCAGTGAGGGAAGGAGAGATTTCAGGGGAAAAGCCACTGAGTGGATTGGGAGAACAGGTCTGTTAGGAGGTGGGTAGGACTTGGGAGAGTTAGAGGAGCAAGCAGGACTGCCACAGTGGTCTGGTGGATCGTCATCATCCTAGAGGAAAAAGTAAGAGGAGATAAACTGACATCTCAGCAAAGTGTTTGGGGACGTGAGTGCCCGCTGTGCTCTCTGTTCCAGGTGCTCTGTTCCAAATTCCTCTTTAATCTTAGACCTCAGTCTAGTCCAGTGAGGTAGGGGTAGTATCCTCATGTTGAATGTGAGGAAACTGAGGCTCAGAGAGATTCATTGACTGGTGCAAGGTCACATGCCTAGTAAGTGGCAGAGCCAGGCTTTGATTGTAGAGCCTGCTTTTTCTACTTTTCCAGCCATCTCTATTTATTGAGAGGAAAGAAAGTGCTGGCCAGAGGAAAGTGAGACAGAGAAAGAATCTCCACCCACGGTGTCTGAGTTCAGGAGCAGTTCTGCCTGGCATGGCTTGATTTGGGGAGCTCATGGAAAGATAAGGGCCTTTCCTTCCAGTCTTGGACAGGGGGAGGTTGGTGAGAGGGGGCTTGGTTGACTCCCTCTGGCTGTGAAGAGAGAGGCTGTGGGATGCTGGTTTCTCTTCCATCGTTCCAGTGACCTCCAGTATTGCCCACACCCCCTCTCTCAGGTCAGGGCCCCAGCAAGAAGGCAGCCAAGCACAAGGCAGCTGAGGTGGCCCTCAAACACCTCAAAGGGGGGAGCATGCTGGAGCCGGCCCTGGAGGACAGCAGGTGAGGGAGGAGGAGCCGAGGCATCCTAGAGGCCCTGCCAGGAGCCCAGGCCCCTGCGCCAGCCCCTCCGCCCAATAGGCCTGGCCTGGTGACACTTAGCCACCTTGACCTGGCCTTTTCCTGCGAGTTTCCTCTGGAACCGAGCAGGATGCTTCCAGGGCTCCTGCTGCTGTGAAGGGTTCTGGGGGGAATGGCCAGCCCCACCGAGGGGTCATGGCTGTGGTTTGGGGCCCAGGCTAGGGAGGGAGAGGGGCGGAGGCTGAGGCTGGAAGGAGTTGCTGCTCAACATGCTTCCTCTTTCTTAGCAAGCTGTCCTTCCCTCTTCCACACTCAGGTCGGGAGTTTGTTGCTCCCATGGTTCTTGGGTAGGAAGAGACCCTCCTCCCCCTGTTTCTCAGTCTCTTTGATCTGTTGTTGGCAGCAAAGGATCCCAGGAGCAAGAACTGGTGGTTGAACTTCCCTGGCTCTTTGGCTCGAATGGGAAGGAATTTTCTTAGGGGAGGGGCAGGTCAGGAGGACCTGGGTGCCCCGCCCCTTGTGCCCCCTCCTCATGGGTGTGAATCAAAGGCCCTCTTCCCCTCGGGAAGTTCTTTTTCTCCCCTAGACTCTTCACTGCCTGAGGACGTTCCGGTTTTAACTGCTGCAGCAGCTGCTACTCCTTTTCCGTCTGCTGTCCCAACCAGGTATCTTGTGTTTCCTGACTGCCTGAGGCGGGGAGGAAGGGCTCCTGGCTCCTGGCTCCTGGCTCCTGGCCCCTGGCCCCCAGTCCTTGGACCCAGGCAGGTCAGGCATGAGGAAGTCTGAGAGTAAACAGGGGATGGACTAGCTGGGGACCAGAGTTTGAAGAATTTGCACCAGCTGGTAAGCTCTTGGGACAGGAAGTAATTGATGACTTTTAAATAGCCATGTGGATGATGTTTGACCATGTTTAAAGGTCTTGCAGGCCCCATTTTCTTCTGAGCTGGCCACATGATGGTCCTGTGTGTGAGTCCCACCAGCTGCTTCGGGGACTGGATATACAGCCCCTCTCCCACTGTCCTGGGGAGGTGATGTCACATGTTCCAGAAAATTGAAATGGGCCTGGGACCTGGAGGAGACCTCACTTGGGTGGGATGGGGAAGGAAGCAGGCTGGACGTTTGGACAGACAGCTGCCTACCTGGCGGGGCGTAGGGAGATGGTAGTTGGGGAAACCAAAGCAGAGCTGAGGACTCATGCGCAGCCACAGAAGGAAGCAGCCCCGTCAGCTTCGGCCCTGGGCCCTTCTTCCTTCAGGAGCCCCCCCATGGAGGTGCAGCCCCCTGTCTCCCCTCAGCAATCTGAGTGCAACCCCGTTGGCGCTCTGCAGGTGCGCCCCCATCCTCATTTCCATGCATGCCTGTCTTCCCTTGAACCAGGGGCCGTGAGGGAACGTTATGTGGGGCGGTTACCCTGTTCTGTAGGCTTTTTCCACCCCGCTTTATTCCTGCTCTTCCCTGAGGCTCCTAGAGTAGGAGGGAGAGGATGTGAGGTGTCTTTTCTCACTCAGCCTTGTGCCCCCTTGTTTCTCCCTTCCAAGGAGCTGGTGGTACAGAAAGGCTGGCGGTTGCCTGAGTACACAGTGACCCAGGAGTCTGGGCCAGCCCACCGCAAAGAGTTTACCATGACCTGCCGAGTGGAGCGTTTCATTGAGATTGGTAACTGGGCAGAGTGGAGTTCTCACAGCTACTAACCCCCAGCCAGGGGCAGCTCCTAGCCTCTCTCTGCTACAGCCCCACTCTCCTGGCGTCTCAGCCCTGGGCTCGGTTCCTTCCTCCTAGCTTCTTCCTTGCACCCTATTTTTCCCCCTCTTTTCTGGCTCACCATGTTCTCAGGTGCATGGCAGGTCCTGAGCTCCCCTTTCCAATCCTCTGACATCCCCTGAGGGGACCCTCACCCCAAGTTTGAGCTGGGTGGAAAGTTTGAGCTAGGTCTGTTGGGAATCATAATCCAGCAGCCCTCTCCCCACACACAGGCAGTGGCACTTCCAAAAAGCTGGCAAAGCGTAACGCAGCAGCCAAAATGCTGCTTCGAGTGCACACGGTGCCTCTGGATGCCCGGGACGGGAATGAGGCCGAGCCTGATGACGACCACTTCTCTATCGTGAGTGGCTTGTGGCCCAGGGCAGGGCACTGGGGACTCAGGTCTGTGACTCGAGAGTAAGCCTCTCTGTGTCCCAGGCCTGCTTCTGCCCATTTTCCTACCAGACCCGGGGCTCCTTGGGCCCCCTCTCAGCCTCAGCTGTAGGCCCGCCTGGTGAGTGCTGTGGGGGAGCTGGCCCAGGGCAGGGGCCTTGTAGGCTTCTGTTACTGGGACGGGGAAGGCTCCCCGGCCATCTGGTCGAGGGCTAGTGGTTAGAGGAGGCCATGCAGGGATTGGCTGGGGGGAGGCAAGCTGGAGGCAGCCTTCTTGGGCTTCTCTCCTCATAGACAGTGCATGTCTATTAAATGCTCCTGGCTGCACAGCACATTTCTCACTGTCCCTGTCTCATCAGGGTGTGGGCTCCCGCCTGGATGGACTTCGGAACCGGGGCCCGGGCTGCACCTGGGATTCTCTGCGAAATTCGGTGGGAGAGAAGATCCTGTCCCTCCGCAGCTGCTCCCTGGGCTCCTTAGGTGCTCTGGGCCCTGCCTGCTGCGGTGTCCTCAGTGAGCTCTCTGAGGAGCAGGCCTTCCATGTCAGCTACCTGGATATTGGTATGGCTAGTTGGGGGGCCGTGGGATGGTGGGGACTGGACCAGAGCAAGTACAGATGGGTATAAGGGGGTCAGGGAGGGTGTAATGACATGGATTCACCCCTCCCGGTGCTGCCTTTCCACCCAACACTTCCTCCCTCCTCTCTCTCGGTCTCCAGAGGAGTTGAGCCTGAGCGGGCTCTGCCAGTGCCTGGTGGAGCTGTCCACACAGCCGGCCACTGTGTGTCATGGCTCTGCAACCACCAGGGAGGCAGCCCGTGGCGAGGCTGCTCGCCGTGCCCTGCAGTACCTCAAGATCATGGCGGGCAGCAAGTAAAGCCCCGGCTGGACTCATGGATGTGCACCGTTGCTCCCTGCTCTTCCTGCCCTGGCCCAGCCCACGCGTCTGCCCAGCTCTGGTACCCCCTGGGGGTGCCATCTCTACCTCTGACACAGACTGCTTGCCGGCAGGCTGAGGAGGGCCAGGAGCCAGGGACCACAGGGCCTCAGCTGGCCCAGGATCCATCCTCCTGTGTTGGTGATGACAAGGGAGAATGAAATGGGGGGCTCTCCCCTAGAGCCCATAATAAATGTGCTGCTCCTTGGATTCTTAAACTCTGCTATTTCTGTTTCCCTGAGTAGTGCTAATGGCAGAGGAGGCTAGCACTAGGTCACCTCCCCTGTGTGCTTTCCCCCTGTTCCCCACATGTCCCCATGTTTGCCTTTCTGGTGGCAGGAGGCTGGGTGCGGTGACTTCCAGGAACCCCATCAGGAGAGTTTGGTTTGGTGGAGATGGTGGGGGCTGTGGTTCTTGCCCTGGGGCTCCCTCCCGGCCCTTTCAAGTCTCATACAGACACAGACACATGGATTCAGAAGCCAGGCAGCTTTATTTGGGGGGACACATGGCACTGGAGGAGTGGGCTTCACATGGGCACATATCAAGGAATGACATGTCGTTTCTTCCCAAAGCGTTGAGGGGCGGCCAGGCTCCAGAACAGGGAGTTCAGCCCCTCCCCCTCTCGGGGCCTCAGCCTTCCGCTGCTCCAGGAGCCCCGGGTGTTTCTGCCAAACCTTAGGAGAGACCCAACCTCAGCTGTAGGTCCTTCCAGTGCTTCCCTTCTCTAGCCCCCTCCCTTTCTGGCCCCTGCCTTTTCTGTCTCCAGCCCCTGCCTTGCCCCTGTCCCTCTCAGACTCACCTCTGGGGCTGAAACAGGAAGGCTGGGCTCCAGTCGGGTCTCTGCGTGGCCTGGGGCAGGGAGCGCAAGTGTGGCCCCGGGGTCTGGGCGTCCTGCGGTGGGTGGGGTTCGTTGTCTTCCTCCTGTGGGACCGGGGCATTCGGGAAGGAAGATGGGCAAAGGCCTTGGGCATTTAGGTCACAAGGGGAAGGGGGCAGCTTCCTGGGGCAATTAGTAGGAGGCTGAGGAGCCATTCCTTCAGATGAGAGGACCCAATGAAGACCCTGGCAGCCAGAGAGAATATCTGAACCTAGAGCATGAGTCTCAAGCTGAGGTAGAGGAAAATGGTGACGTGGGGATGAAGGTGCTAACTTACCTCGAAGATCTGTTCTGTTTCATACTGGCCCCCTGGTCCTTCAGCGAGGCCCCCGTCTGTCACTAACAGCAGCACCACCAGCAACACTGCCGCCCGCCTGGAATCCATGCTGCCATCTGCCTGCCTACAGGCACATCCACCTCTTATACCTGCTGTCGCCTGTCCCCTATCCCCACAGCAGCCTGAGGGGGAATCTAGAGCAGGCAGTGGAAATGCAAGGCTCCATTAAGAGCCACCTGGGATCCCCTCCCATGGCACCCCCCCGCCCCGCCCCGACTTCCTGCTCTCAGTCTCCGGCCCCCAGCCCTTCAGCCTGGAGTTATAGACTTTATTGGATGCATAAATCCTGTCTCTAGAGCTCAAGACGCATCATTAATTGCAGATGCTTTGTCAGAGCCAGGCCCTAGGGGGCCTTCAAGAACCCCCAATCCCTCAACAGGTTGGAGAGCTCCAATTGCTCACCTCCTCTTTCCTAACTTGCAGAATAAAAGCACAGGGAAAGTCCTGTCAGGTAGGGCTAGGCATTAAGTCCTGGAACAGGGAGGCAGGGGACGTAGTGGGGGCAAGGGTCGGAGTGGGGCGGGATGACCCAGCCTGGTCCCTCCCAACTGGGGCTGTAGTCAGGGTCACCAAGCCCATTCACACCCCTGTGCACATGCCTCTTGAAGGGTTAAAGATGGAATCACACTCTGAGATTCGCCTGTGGATAGAAAAATGAGATACAGAGGGAGGCTAAAAGCTTTCAGAGCCACAGAAAGTGGAGATTGCTTCAGATCTTTGTAGACAGACCCCCCCCCCCCATCTTCCTTAGAGAGCATTGCTTAGGACCCGCCTCCCCTCGGCCTCTGAGCTGGCCTCTGCAGCTGAAGCACTGCTGCCACCCTGTGGTCACAGCTCTGCAGTGTCAGGTCCAGCCATTTCCTTCTGGAATAGTGCTCTGTGAAGGGTGGGCCCTAACTCCAAGGAGTCCCAGAAAGGCAGGGGCAGGATACTGGGGTGGGCCTGTCATTTTGTCTGTCTCCCTCTAGTCACCCCAGCTCTGCCTGCTCTGGCTCTGACCTACTGAGGCAGGCAAATAAAATCCAGCCCTAGGGAAAAACTGTCACTGTCTCTCCGGGAGTGGTCCTTTGAAGTCGCCTGCTGCAGTTTCCCTTCTGATCCTAGGATCCCTTCCTAGGCGTGCCCCCAGGGTGGTGATCCGGCCCATGTGGAGAGGTGCCACGATGTAAAGTGAATCAGCGTGGGGCAGGCTGTCGACCTCTAAACAGCAGTTTCTTCACCTAAAACATGGCAACGTTAAAAGGAACCACTTCCTAGGCTGACCATGGTTTGAGATCCTTTTTGTAATCCATTCAGCACAGGATGTGGCACAGAGCAAGTGTGCTCAAAACGTGCGCTGTGATGGTCCTTGCACACCTGAGTCCTGGGGACTTACCATCTCCCAAGACGGTCTCTGGACACACGTATCCTTGCACCGAGTGGGCTCCCATCACCCTGTGGCCTCCACCAGGGCTCTGTTTGCCCCAGTAAGTCTCACAGAACCTCTCATCCCTCCTGGTCACAAGGCTTTCGCATGTTTGAAGACAGATTTCATTCTTCCACTCTTTTTTTGATCAAGGGAAGTGTCCCCCCCTCTTTAAAGCAAGGCATCTATAAACCAACTTATACTTTGGATAGGTAGATTAGAGCAGGTTTAGATCTGGATGTTCTAGACACTATGTTTCTATTAATGCAACCTTAGTCAGGGTGAACTTTTCTGTAAAAGTTGCCTCACCGTTGGTCCCACGCACAGAACCTGACATTCATCATTATATCTTGTAGTTTCACCGCTGCTTAAAAGGGAGCATCAAGTCCATGGGTAGATGGTGGCTCTGTGGGAAATGGATCCTGCACCACATCAAGGTCCTTGTCTGGTTTTTTTTTTTGTGTGTGTGAGGAAGATCGGCCCTGAGCTCACATCTGCCAATCCGCCTCTTTTTTTTCCTGAGGAAGACTGGCCCTGGGCTAACATCCATGCCCATCTTCCTCTACTTATATGGGACACTGCCACTGCATGGCCCGACAAGCGGTGCGTTGCTGTGCACCCGGGATCCGAACCGGTGAACCCCGAGCCGCCGCAGCGGAGTGTGTGCACCTAACCGCTTGCGCCACTGGGCTGGCCCCTCCTTGTCTGTTCTTATCTGACAGATGTCCAGAGAAGCAGGGTTGTGAGGGAGGGTGGGGCACTGCAAAGAGCCGCTCTGAGGTCAGACAGAACTCAGTGCTTTTTTTTGGTGAAGGAGATGGGCCCTGAGCTAACATCTGTTGCCTACCTTCCTCTTTTTGCTGAGGAGGATTAGCCCTGAGCTAACATCTGTGCCCATCTTCCTCTATTTTGTATGTGGGACGCTGCCACAGCATGGCTTGATGAGCAGTGTGTAGGTCCGCGCCTGGGATCCGACCTGTGATCCCGGGCCACTGAAACGGGGCGCACAAACTTAACCACTACGCCACCAGGCCAGCCCCAGAACTCAGTTTTAATCTTTGCTCTTGCACTTCACTGTGAGCCTTGGGCAAGTGTCCTAACCTAAACCTCAGTTCATGGTCAATAAAATAAGGCAGCCGCCCCTATCATAAGGAGGTTCCTGTGAGCAGTAAATGACTTAATGGATGCAAAGCATCTAGTATTCCATCCAGCACAGAGCAGGCACTCAGTAAATGTGCACCGCCCTGCTGCTGCTCCCTCTAGTATTTCTCTGCTCACCAATTATAAGTGGATGGGAGCTAAGGCTGCATTCAGAAAGGGGCTGGTCTAGCTGGCTTTCTACATCCAGGATGGAGTTGATTGCTCTCTCCTTTGGTTAGAAGTTGGAATGGGTTAACTCTTCTAACTTGGGAACTGTCCTGCTTTCAGAGTCTCATCCCCACATCCCAAACCTCTCAAGCTTGGCTTTGGTATTTGGCTTTCAGCATCTTCCTTTCTTACCCTTCTCTGGACTGCCATGTGCTCCTGAGCACAACACAATAAAGACCACCACCGCCTTCCCCACTCTCCTAAGGAGATGCAGTCTCTCTGTTTGTGTCAGTTATACCAAACATCAGCCACAAACAGCTTCTAACCCACTTCTGTCCTACTGGGAAACTCTCAGAGGCACCTACTGTCTCCTGGTCAAGTTCTTCAGCCTGCTCACTCTCTTCACTTGTGCTGAGAATTATCACCCAAGTGAAGGACACACACAAATGCCAAGAAATTAGCAGTGATGCCCTACACCTCCCCATAGTTCTGAGCATTTACCTGTTTTTCTTGTGAACTATCTCTTACTTGCTTCTAAACAAACTCCACTCCTCATTTCCAGACCAACCTCCTCCCCACACCCACAGAACTCATGGAAAGCTGCTTTCTCGGTGTGTGCGTGCACTCCCCAGACATGCTGGAAACTTCTTGAGGGTAAGGCATATATATATTTTTAATTGTTAGGAGGAGGATGGGGACAAAACACCAAAAGCTAAGAGCCCACTTGCCTTCAGACACCCTCCCATCCCCCATCTACATAAAGCACATAAGTTCTCTAGTGAGTGCTTCCATGACACCAAGGACCCCTGTCCCCAGGGCAGTGTGCAGATCTGAGCCCTGGTCTCCGTCCTTCTGTTGTGTCATGTAATTTATACAAACCACCCACCTTCTCTAGGCTGTGTCTTCTGTGCATAAAAAGGAGGGATAAGAATCCCCGCTCCTTCTGCTCTAAGAAATGGGAGAGTGAGGAAGATCACAGACATGAAAGCCAATCAGTTCCCAGAAAGAGTGGACAATGGGACTTGTAGATGAGAGTATTGAAGCATCAGACGTAACAGTGGTTCTCTTGATAGTTTAATGTTACATTTGCAGCATAAATAAGGCACAATATATGTCAGGGCAAGGGAGAGAGGGAGAAGGCATGGCTGGGGGGTAACTGCTAAGTGGCAGGGGGAGGAAGAAGGGACGGTGAGGGAGAAGAGAGCGAAGCCTCTCCCTCAGCCCCGTCCCGGGAGATGTGAGAGCCTGCTCACAGGGACCATGCTGAACTGGGTGGGGGGAGAGGGAGAAGACGGTTTTGTAACAAAATAGCCTGTAGCACTGCATCCTCCCATCTGTCAAAGTCCATCACTGGGGACTGGGGAGCCCAGACCCAGAGTCGAGTTCCTTGATGAGCGGAGAGGTGTTGCTGCACGTCAGCTATGCAGGTGAACAGAGATATAGCCAGAGACACACACTGCTTGCTTTTCAACAGCTACTATGTTAGGAGGCTGCGGCCTCCACTGTTGGGGCTGGAGGCTCAACTCCCTGCCTGAAAGTGGTGTGTGTGTGTGTGTGTGTGTGTGTGTGTGTGTGTGTGTGTATGGGAGAACAGGACAGGTAAAGCTCCAGCTGGTCCTTCCTATAAGAAAGAACGTGGAGTGATCAGTCTGCAAGGGAATATGGGACAACTCCAGTCCAGACTGACGCAGGACTGGTTTTAGGGATAGGTAGAAGGAAGACAAACCGAGATTTTGAGATGAGTGATGTGGTTGTTGTTTGAATGGGAGTGGAGGGAGGGACTGGAGGAGATGGAAAACATGTTAGTGGTAAGGCAGAGGATGGTGCTGAAATATCCTGGGCGCCCTCAAGAATTTCCCAGCTTGCCCTAAGGCAATGGCTCGCAAGCTTTAGTGTGCCCCAGAATCACCTGGAGTGCTTGTTGGAGCCCAGCCCCCGAGCTTCCACTCAGTAGGTCTGGGGTGGGGCGCGACTGTGCATTTCTAACAAGTTCCCAGATGATGGCGCTGCTGGTGCTGCTGGTCCTGAACCATACTCTGAGAGCCACTGCCCTATGGGAAAGTCAGTGAAACTAGTGCTCCTAGCCATTTCTTACAGCTGAAACACCACTTACCAGGAGCTAATGCTGGTGAGATAGCTCTGTGCTACCAGCCTCCCATTAAAAAAATAAGGTCAAACCCTAGCAGCTACAATACAAACCTGTATCTACAAAGGACATAAGCTGCCTTAACTCGCCCTACTCTCCCCAGCCTTTTCTCATTCTAGGGTAGGAACTCGACCCCAAAGAGAGAAGAATGAACTGGTGCAGAGGGTGGGAACGTTGGCCAGCAGCCACCTATGCTCATTCCTGCCGGGTCAACACCCCGGGGGGCGTGATTTATGTCTGTGTGCACATGCATGTGTGCAAACAGAAACAGAGAGAAATCAGTTCTCTACTCTGAGGGGGATGATTAGGGCTGTGGGAGGCTGAAGTAGGATAGGGGGGGTCCTCTAATCTGCCTTAGGATCCTCACCTGTCCTGTTCCTCCCTCCACGTCTGTCAAACAAAAGTCTAAAGCAGCAGAAAGAGCATATCAACAAAGGCATATGTGATATAGCTAGGAGGACTGGATTCTAAACAGACTGGTTATGAAATTAAAAAAAAGAATACATTTCCTTCCTGTGTATACAATGTACAATATTAATGGAAAATAATGATTTGGGGACGGGAAGGAAGTTATGAAAGGGGGGACATTTTTTAGGGGGAGAGCTGTCTCAGGGCTAGCACCTTTAAAGGAGCCTCTCAGTGTGGAGCAGGGGAGTCTCAGAAACCACAGGAGGAAGACTTTGGTGTCTGCTTGGTGGTTCAGCCTGTAGACGTGCCCAGTTATGGTTAATCATCCATCTACCGGGGTGACTGCAGTGAATCAGGAAAGGAGCCAAGAACAGAACAGGCATAGGGAGGGCGGCAAGGGGAGGTTCAGGTAGGCCGTCTCCTCTTACCACCACCGAGCATATGGTCTAGTGCTTAAGGCCAAAGAGAGGAGTGGAGGCCGAAGGAGGCCAGATTTGGGGTGTACAACCAACAGGGAAAGAGCAAGTAAAAGAGTGCCTACTCTTTCTAGTCCTCCCTAGGAGTGCAGGGAGGTGTGCTTTCTCAGACTTGCAACTCAAAGCAAGCTTTCTTTGAAGAGAATGGGACAGAAAGTCTGCAGACCAGAAGACCTGGTTCTGGCTCCTTTCTGTATGGCCTTGGGTATCCAGCTGTCGTGTCTTTGGAGTGAGGTGGGAAGCCTGAGTCCTGGGTTCACTCAAAAGAGTCCCACATTCCCAGCTCCTTTCAGAAAGTGTCTTCTCTCAGGCCCCTAGAAAGGCCATGGTCCTTAAGAAGGGCTAAGTGACACCTTTCATGATGTTTGGTTCTGGTCCAGATGAGTCTGGAAGGCAAAGAGTAGGGGAGAGCGGCCACCCAGCTGACAGCAATGACAAGGTAAGTGATGCTCCCCTTGACTGTAAGAGAGGCTTCAGGGTAAGCAATTGCTCTGCCTACCTAGTGAGACCAAGAACAACTGCGGAGCTGTCTGGGAGGTTCTGTCCTGCCCCTTTCTCATTTCACCACTGCTTTACTACTAAGGCTCTGCCCATGCCCTTCATTCAGGTCCCCAATACTAACTTCCCACTGATGAAAATGAAATAAGGACTCAAGAGAATTAGACTTGGGGGCTAAGAAACTAAATAAGACCCACTACCTAAGTCCTAGGCAGGGACACACTGGCAGGACTCAAACATCCCCCAAGGCAGGGCAGTGAGGAGGGCACGTGTGCAGTGACAGACTGAGTCTTAACTTGAAAAACACCTGACTGAAGGGGTAAGAAAAGTAATCAAGGGTCTTATGAAGGCTCCTTAGGAGCCATAAACTCAGTCAAGCTTTAGGGCAAGGCTGCTAGTGGGAAATCAAGATAATAAAAAATGAAACAAAACTAAAGCAGGAGAAAATCCCAAGGAGCAGCCATCTAAAGGAAAAGTCCTGAGCACGAGTTATGGCTGTGAATTTTTAAAGGCAAGCGGAATCCCTGGCGGTGGTAACCTGCATCCTGCCCATCTGCTGTGCCATTTGCTAGTCTAAGTCACCTCGGGGGCTGTTCCTGTCGGGTCCCGGGTGGTGGAGGATGAGAAAACCACGTTTTCTCTCCTTTCTCTTCACCAGGTGTGGCTTGTTCAGCACCGGCTCTGAAAAGCAGGAGGGAAAATTAAAAACAAATGCAGTAAAACATGTCATCTGACTGGCTCACCAGTTTAATCACTCTGAGGAGATGGGAATCTTGTAGCTTAGAACATTTCCTCATTACCCCATGACAGCCAATTTGGGAAGACAAAATAAGAAAGGAAGCTGGCAGTTATTTTGTGTGTATGTTTAAGATGGAGGCAGGAGAGATGGAGAAAAGGACATTCTTGGCTTGGGCAGATGGCAGAAGGTGGCTCTGGGGCAACTGGAAGGTTTCATGCTGAAGGGCTATGAAACCTGACCTATCTATCCACAGGCCTCTGGCTTTGGATTGCTTCCTACGGCCTTGGTAGAAATCGCATAGTTCAGAGCCAAAGGAAGAGGAGAAGTCTTAACGGGGAAGAAAGAGGGACAACAGGGATGAATTTCTCCCCCTACAACCCACCTCTTCAAAGTAAGAATGGCTGAGAGCAGTAGTCACCAGTCTCCCAAGCAGGCCAGACCCTCCACCAGCAGAGCTGTTCTGCTAATAGAACTACAGCCCCCACTTCCTACCTTCTACTCAAGAAAACTCACTCAGGATCTTGGCTATGATGCCTCAGAGTCCTGGGGCTTGGCCTATGAAGAAGCATTGCACCTGGGGGGCAGAGAGCAGAAAAGAGTTGAAGAAACGCTGCAGAATCAGAGAGACCTGGTGGCCAGGCTAGGAGCCTGGTGAAACAGAGAGAAGATGGATCCAGAGGGTGAGGGGCACTTGTGAATAGAAGACCCAGCTCAGAAAAGAAGACAGACGTGTGAGGCTGAGAGATGGGGAGGAGCGAGGGAGCGCGGGGGTCCCTTACATGACAGCGTCCAGAGGGCTGCATCTCAGCCAGTTCTACAAGAGGGACGGAGGCAGTAACGTGGACAGGGAAATAAAGGAGGAGAAGCAGGAGCCGAAAGAGGACCAAAAGGAGTACATATGCTTCGGCCAGTAAACTCTTGTAAAACATAAAAGAATCAATCCAGTAACCTGATGGAACGAGCTTTAAACGACATTCTTCCTGCCGGCCCTGATGATTAGAACTGAAGGAAGACGGAGAGGGGAGGGGGGAATCAGCCAGCTAGATCGCAGGCTCTTTCCCTTTTCACTACCAAGCAATAGCTAAGAAGGCCACAGGCCGAGGCTGCCAAGGCTTAGTGGGAGGTGGAAAAGGCCCCCCACTAGACTGGGAAAACTCGAGAGACAAAATGAGGTACCCAAATAGCTCCAGAAATAGATGAAAAACTCTTGGGGTTTTGTTGCTTTCTTTTTGCTTTGCTTTTTGTTTTGGTGGCAGGTAGGGAGAAGGAGTAAAGTTTATGGAAAAGACTGCTACTTCACACAGCAACGGTAACCTTGCGTTCTCCATTAAGTGAAGGCTTTACCTAGAGTTTAGGAAGGGGAAAAAGGGATAAATAAGCAGCTACTGGGAGATAAAGTCCTGAGGCCACGGTGTGGCTGGGGATGGGTCACAGGGTGATACGCCATCAACTCTAGCCTCCCTCTACCGAGCAGGAAGTGGCATTCTGCTAAGGAACAAGAAGGTAACAGCCACAGCTTAGTGGGAAGAGAGGGAACCGAGAAACCTGAAACCTAGAAGTGCCAAGGGTTAGTGTTAAAAGAGACAGGTACACGGGCACGGGCAGGGCTGATTGTTCGGACCATCTGGAAAGGCCTTTGGCTATGGATATATCAGAGCCCCACCCCACCTTGGGGGATGATCTATGTGGCTCTGGGGCTGGGAGGCTCCTAGTACAGGTGTCAATGTACAGGACCATGTGGCTGAAGAGAAAAGCCTCACATCTGTCCATTACTCACAACACACAATTTTCCCCCCATGTTGCCATGTCCAAGGCAGATGGGAGGGGATAAGATGATATCTCTCTTGGCTCCTGGGCGGGCGAGCTCTGGCTGGGTACCTCTCCACCAGGGGAGGCATCATCTGCCCGCAGACTGGGACTGTGGGGTCATGATCACATGCGACTGTATCGGCATGCTCAGTTCTGTCCTTTGGCTGGCCATCTGAGTGAGGACCGAGGTGGCCACAGCTTCAGCTGCAGAGCGAACACTGAGGCCATTGCTAGGGGCAGTTGCTGAGCTGTGCTGAATCACAGGGGCTGGAGAACCCGTTGGCTCTGAGCTTTCCTTGGGGCTTTCTGCCAGGAAGGAGGGCAAAGAGCAGAGAGCAAGTGGTTAGAAAACAGAATGATGAAACAGGCAGGATTATCTTTTGCCATAATTCTGAAGGAGCCCAAAGGAAAAGGAAGCCCATATTTTTTGAGGGGAAAACTTCCCAGAATCTTGGCTTCTAAGCCATGAATGGGCTAGGCAACGGGAAGTTGTGAGAAGGGAAGCAAGAACTAGGCCCAAATTAACCTATCTACCCCAAAAAGCAAATCCCCAGCATGTTAATTACACTGTCTGGCTTCTAGGTCTTTGTGTAGTTCATTACCTTTATTGGAACATTCTTCCTCTTATTCATGTCTTTAAAGGTGATTTAAAACAGATCTCTTTTTAGCTATCCTCTCTGACTAGTTCCCACAGACATGGAATCATTCCATTATTTTTTGTGTTCCTTTAGCATGTAGTTGTATCGCAGGTAAGCCTGATAAATATCAAGCTACAATCAAATGATGTTATGAATGACCAGTCCTTGGTTAAGATTCAGTTAAAGCAACAAACTACAAAGAGGTCTGTTAGATCCTCCTGACTATCAATTAGCTAGGCATTAATGATTGAAAGCAATTATGATGAGCTATGCCACTCCACCTAAAGTGACAATAACATTTTACTACTAAACACAAAGATCTGAGCTCATACAGAGCTAACTCCATGTTGTGCATCAGTCAAGGAGTTTTATTAAACATCAGACAGCCTCTACGGCCGCTTAATCAGAGATGTGTGGAATGAGGGCAAACTTGCAATAGTTGGTTGTATTTTTGACCTGATGAATGCCTGAGTCTTCTTCCAGGATTCAAATATTACCTCCTTTGTGAAGCCTTCTTTGTTATGCTCAGAAAATTAACTATTTCATCACTTGTGCTTTCAGAGCATACGTTCATCTATTCATCAAATATTTATGAGCATCGTCCATGTGCCAAGCACTAGCGTATGTAAAGAATCAAATAGGAGCCCTGTCCTCAGGAAGCTCCCAGTCTAAGGGCTCTTTGCCTGGGATATCTGTGCTTACCTTATTCACGGGTT